GTTAAGGGTTCAATAACAACCTTAACTCTGGTCTCACATTCTTATACATTTTACAGTAGAGTGTAGAAACTGCCAAGCACATCTCATGGCCTCCTTGCTATACAGATGAACTGCAACAGCTCCTTTTCACATGCTCCCTCTTCCTGCCTACACTTAGTACAAAAGTTTTCTAACAAACTTCTTGTTATGCTGGGTGGAAAAAAAAAAAACAAACAAAACCAAAATATGTGTTTTCTTAGCTGAAAATTACTAACTTTTAGGTTAAAATACAGTATCTTGAGTGAGCAGATGGAGAGCCATTCTGGAATTTCCATTGGGTTTGTCGGAAGCAGCAAACCTGAGTTGCCTTGTCTTCATTGCCATTTTAACCTCCGCTAGCGAGCCTGGGCTAACCCACCCACATTTAGAGACAAACTTTATTTGCAATATAAACAATACCCATGTCACGATGGATAAAGAGCAGATCTGTGGGATTTCATATGGGAAAAGACAACTGCTTTTGCCAGCCACTGGTGCCTAATAACCACATGTCTTCTATTAGTGTCTTAAACGAGGAGATGGAATATGTCTTGGGGGCGTCTAATGACTGACCAGAGAAACGGAGCTGAAGGGAAGCTGGAGCCTGGTTACGTGTGCTCTCTGCTCAGCAGGGAGGCCGCTGTGTGCTAGAGAGAGAGAGACTCCACTTTCATCTACATGAAGAGAAACCAGGAGCAAAGGTCCCTTTCAGGAGGGATAAGGGGTGTCCTAGAGAGCACATTTAAGGCACAGACTGGGAGGGAGAGGACGTCAGATCACGGAGGGGGTCGATGCAATGACTTCCTTCTCAAACACAGAGTGAACAATCTTGCGCTTAATTTAAATACAAGTGATGAGTTGTAAGAGTGGTGAAAATGGCAAATAAATTCTAGGAAATTGCATATAAAGAGGAATCCTTGTTATTAAATCATTTAGGATGGATGTGTTTCAAATCTAGCTCACAGTTGAGACTGTTTTACAGTTATAGCTGTGGAGTTTTAACAAATTTGCAGAATCGCAGCGTATCTGCCAGGGATTTATTTTAAGGATTGTAGGGTAGTTACATGAATGAACCTCAACAGACTCAATATGTTGTTGTGATCTGAACTCTTTAGTGATTTCCACTGCAGTTACATAAGCAAGAACCAACAACACGTGTGTATTTGGGTGCACATATGCGAACACATGAGATGGAGAAATTGCATGCACGTGTGCAGGCTTATTCCCCAGCTCCACAGGCAGGCTTTCTACAGACTACTCCTACAGGACAACAATAAGATTTCTTAACATTAGCATCACGGTATTTCTTTTCACTTCTCCCCAGAGTTCTTTTTACTCTGATCTGCCTCCTGTCTGTATTAGAAAGGAAAGACTATACGGCCCAGCACACTCCTGGTACTTGATCTCATTCCAAGCTTTGGGTGCTAATCCCACCACCTCTGTACTGCCTGTCTCTCGTCTTGGTGCATGTGTTTGTGTGTGCATGTGTGTGTATGTACAGACATGCACATCTGCTAGTGACAACCCTACACCAGCTGCTCTCCCTGACCTGCTCTGTACAAGAAGGGAACAGGACTGCGGCCCAGATCTGGCTCCATAGCGCAGCTGCCAACATCAGCTCCCACTTTTTCTCCAGAAACTATATATTGCATTTCTACTGCAAACGCATCTCTAATTCAACTGTCAATCTAGCCGTCCAAAGTCCCTAGTTCCAAGGTGCTCCCGTTCTCCTCACCACGGGAGGACATTCTCCACTGGAATTTGGCTACTGAAGCACTGGGAGACAGAAAAATTAAATTCAAACTTTGGCTTTTTTCTTTGCCTACTTCCAGTGGATACCCGGAACATTTCAAAAAATTCATCGCAAGCATGAACAATGAGCACTTCTGAAAATACTGGTTCGAAACTAGTGGAGATCAAACTTCTCAAATAGCCTCAATGGTTTTAGAAATGCCTGTTGACACAGATATGTCTGTTGACTCCTCAGCTCTGGAGGACAGAGCATGTTCTAACACTCACTTGATGGCCTCAAGAATTCTCCTTGACTGCAGGCATAAGTCACACTGCAGAATGCTCTTGTTGGTCCATGGGAAGGACTGCATGCCCTTACAAACACAAAAATTATAACCATTTCTGTTTCTTGAAAGATCTCTAATTCATCGGTAATGTTTCAATGGAATAATGGCCACAAACCCTAGCAGCAATTATAGAAATGTGTTTTGCTTTATTTATTTAATGCATAAGTACAAGCTTTTTAATGAACAGAAAGTGATTATGCACTGGCAGGACAATGGGGAAAAGGGAGGAAAGGATATTGAAAGCTTTGAGCACTGCTCTCCTCTCTGCTGTCTTGCTTTCTGTCTCTCTCATACATTTGCCCTCTCTGCCCGTGGTTCCACTGTGGAAGCCATATGGCTTCCAACTCTCTTCTAAGTAGCCACTGAGAATTGTCTATAGTGGAATACTGCCAAAGCCCTTCCTGGTTTAATGACATGGGGAAGAGCGCTGTGCAGTGCTCACCCAGCACAGAGACTCGCTGTGTCCTTGATTATGATCCTGGAGCCAGCAAGCGATGCTGGGAATTGAACCATCAGTGCCTCAAATACAGAAGTCGACATGTGCCAACCCCTGCTGCATTCAGCCTCTGTGTGTGGCATATTAATGAGCCTTGAACTTGAGGTCCAACCTTCAAGCTTGCACAGAAGGAATTACCCAAAGACAAAAAAAAAAGGTCCTCTTCGTCCTGTTTCCCTCTAACCTTGCATAGTGATACTAGTTTCTCCACTGAGTTTGTTCAGTCCTTAAACGAACTTTTTTTTAGGCCATCACATCATACCTCTGCATACATAACCACAATTTCCCTTGATTTAAAGATTTGAAAAAAATAGCTTGAAAAGATACTCAGAACGAACGCATTAAGCCAAGAGAGTATATGAGGGGACAGAAGACTCAATACTAATCCTCATTCTTATATCCTACCCATAAATACCTGCTAAATGTTGGAGTCAGGATATGGAGTTAGATGGAGCTTTCTTCTGCCTGTTTTTATGTCCCATGACACTAGGTAGCAGGAACCTGTGGTTATCAGTGTGGTAACAGTCTCAGTCTAAACGGGAAAGAGGAGGGTGCTCAGCCTGATGGCTGCATTCCCATGCCAGCACAAAGAGCATTGCTGGGGACCCCTCAGAGCCATAGGTGTCAGAAAGGGAGCCCAATACCTGTGGAAGTTGGTGATGCACCACAACCCCCAGCTGCATAACCCAATTTGGAACTGCTCGATCTTACTCTACTTGAATTCCTTCACTTAGAGCAAAGCCATGGCCATCTACTAGTCAGCTGGAACACTGGGTTCAGGGAAGTTTTGCAGCATTTCTTTTGGGCCTTGCAAATGCCTGGTGCATAGTGAAGGCTGGTCTCTTATTTTCTGAGAAACAATTTTTCTCCACGTGCACATTTGGCAGCAGAGGCACGGTACAGACGAAAGAGCCTCTACAGAAGGATGGTCTCTTTCTTTGGAAAGAGTTGCACTTCTGGAGGGAAATTTGACAACCTATGAAAGCTGTGTCCTGCTGCAAATCTGTCCAGAAGTCAGAGAAAGGGACAGCTTGTAGAGGGTGAACAGAGCCAATGTAAAATGTAACTCTCCAGGACAGCATGTTTCTCTGGTGGTAAGAGGGAAGGACAACACATCATCGACCCCCAAACCACAGTCTACAGCCTTCCTAGGCAAAGATAAAAGACTTAACAAGCCTGTAAAAAAAATCACATACTGAATTTTATTTCTGTCAAGAAATAAAACAAAATAAGTTACAGTGTTCATGAAATCATCCCATTTTTGAAACACTTTAGAAATTTAGCTAATCAAAGCCCACTACAATCCTTGATAAAAGCCTACCGACAGCTCAGGAAGCTATGGAAGAAAGTTCACAAGATTTACCCAGTCACAAAGGCTATACTGGATGTGCATTATTTGAGGGATCTGGCCTAAGGCATCAACACTCAATTTGTTCTATGTCTCAGGTCTGCAAATTCACATCTTCCTTTCCATAAGTCAAAGGCGGTGTTCTTCAAATACACACACTTGGCCTGTTTGACTCCCCAACTCGCTCACTAACAGCCATGATGCTAGAGCAGATAAAACACATGGTGGCAGTTGGTCACATACAGTGACTCCAGCTCATGCACGCTATTGCTCAGTGTTCCTGTGGCACAGAGCAACACTTTTTCACATACCCCACCTCTTTCTCCAGTATATCACAAAACTCACCGCAAATTCTCACCAGAGAAAGTACAGAATGGCAAGACAGCGAGAACAGAGTGCACACCCAGACAGCATTTTCACAGTACAAGACCAAAGTCCTAGAAGCCTATGCGAACTATTCTGTTTCTTCCTCAGCTTTCACTTAACAGAAATCAACAAAAAAAAACTCCCACTAATTTTGATGGGAACGAACATCGAATCACTTCACTATGCATTGTGCTAATTATTTCAGCTATCTTGAAATAAAGCAATATAAAAAAATTATTACCCTAAACCAATACAGCAGCAGTAGTGGACACACATTCCCTGAAGATCCAAATAACTTGATTTTATCAATGGTGAAGTTCTCAAGATGACAATGGCAAGTACTACTGTGATACCAAAACCAAGAAACATCATTCTTCTATGGATAAGCTGCTCAGGTTCCAAAATACCAACCAAAAACGTGTCCTTTGTTAAGTATTTCAGAACACAGAGTATGATTTGCTTTTAAGTAAGGCAAGAGCTGTTTGAGTTAGCCGTGACTCAGAAAGTCACAGAAGTCTCATAAGCCTGCAATGAAAGTTGCCGATTGGGCTTTATCGGTCATGCCTCTGTTTCAGCTTATCTGGGTTGGGTACCAAACCAGGACCGTTACATTTACACAGTCTTGCACTTTCAGACAAAAACATGCAGTAACCAGCTTTACCATATTTACTAAAACAATAAACTTCGCACTGACCTTTGGCAAGCGTTCGGGGTCACCAGGGTGCCGGGGGATAACCTTCTGTAACCTTTGGAAACCGTAGTCAATGGTGGGTTCGTTCAGAGCTGAAACAACAACAAACAACATCGTGATGTGACAAACGCATAGCGAGCAGGCTCCGTTGCACTGTAACAATTGGCAATGCAATGCAAGACCAAGGAATGATCACAGCAAAATCCCCTTTTACTGAAATCAGCACTGACTATGAAGTCAAACACTATTTGAGGTTGGTTCTGAGGCTTTGGTTCAAGCAGCAATGCAAACCTTCCCACCTGAGTTCCTAAAACAAGGTTGCTGGAAAATTTGGGGATGTTGCATGCATCTTCCAAATAGGAAGGAATTACTACCTCTGAAAGCCACGATGAAATTAACTTGATAAGTAATTTGCACCCCATGTTTCGTGTTGGTTTTTTTCCTGCTTTCGTATTACGAGGAAGGTCCTTTGTGATTGGAAGACAAAAGAAGTAACTATTAGGAAGTCTCTCTTGTTCCAGATTCTATTATACATTTAATATGCTCCACGTGCAATGAACACATATAATTTTGTTGTGAACTACAGACATTTGTCTTGGCAGAGGTTTTATTTTTTACTCATCGACACTGACTTCAGCAGCCCAGCTCAGGCTCCGATCAGCACTAAACAGATCCAAAAGACTTAATGAATTAAAAAAAAAAAATCATCTACGTTTTTAGTTCATTTTTCCCCAGTCCTTGAGAGAAATGGTGGAAGTGGAACACTCTAATCTTCATGAAAATGCTGGTCTGCCTACATTAATCAAAGCTCCGATTGTGCCAAGCCTTTAAGCACATGCTTATCTGTAAGCACATACTTAAACCCATTTGCTTTCAGCAAAGCAAATTTGAGCATATTATGTTTTTTATATGATTGCCTATAATTACAGGGGACGGCATGGAATGACCTTCTAGCTATATTTCCAGTCATATGATCACTTTAAAACTCAGATGTTACTGAGACTTCAACATGTGCTTAAAATTTCCTAAGTGCTTTGGTGAACTGGAACAACAGTCAAGCATTCTCAAGCATCTCTAAACAACAGCGCATCTTGACTCTCCCATGCCAATAGAGATGATGAAATTTTCCACAGCAATTTGTTTGCAATTTTTTTGAGTTAAATGAAAAAAATTTTTTTCCAAGATGGATTTTTATATTTTCAGCCATTGTTTTTGGTGGGAAGGAAATTTTTTTTTTCTTTTTTTGGGTTACTTTAAAGTTTTTCTTATTTTGTCTTAGCCTACTAATAGCAAAAAAAAAAAAAAATAATTTCTTGCACAAGGTCTGCCTACTAAATTATGAATATCTCTCGCACCTTTATGATGGTTTTATTATGAACTTTATTATGTGGCTAGAATGATGCCATCTGATTCCTGCAAAGAGATTTAGCATCAAACCATATCTCCAGTCTCATTTGTGTAAGCACTCTCATGTGGCTCAGTGACGCTTATCCCACAGCAAGTTACACAACTCCATCAGTCTGATCGACATGGCACAATTTGTCCATACTTCCACCTTTTCATACTCCTAATGTTAAAGGTCTTTAGCCAGACCACATTCTTATCACGAAAGTAATATCTAATCCCTGGCTTGTTCTTAATTAATTGGTGTTCCATAAACAATCCCACAAAACAGTCCAGCTTTTAAAGAAACTGTTCCATTTAAATTATTATTTTCAAACCACATTTCTATAGCAGATGGTCCTACTGGCAATCAAAGGGTCAGATTTTTCTATCCTCCTGGACCTTCAGTACACCCCAACTCCATCCGCAGGCCCAGCGATGCTACTGCAAATTGAGACAGAGGAAGGT